GAAAAATACCCTTTGTTATCAAATTTTCAACTCTGAATATTGGATTTTTAGTGTTCTGATTGGTTCACTCATGTCCAGTTATGAGCTCATAATTATTCTGAGTTACCTCATATAGAAATGCACTGCGCCAACTGTTCCAAATATCCAAACATTCAGCATTTATGAGTAAAACAATTCCATTAGCTTTCATTAGATACAAGATTGGTTATAGCTAACTCAGTGCTGTGTGCCTTGTTTATGCAAAGTGACATAGAGCAGTAAAGTCACATTTGGTACATAGTTTCCCTGCAAAATGAAAAACAACACTGTGAATTTGCTCACTTAGAGCTGCTTCCTCCAATTTGTATGGTGTGAAAAAATGAAATATGTGTGTTTATATACTCATACATTTCCATAGTGATAAGAATCAGACAATGGGACAAGATGCTGTGATGCCATGATTTCATAATTAGGTCATTTCTCACAAATTATTAACAAATAAATGTGACTTAAAACTGTGGAGGCCACATTCTGGAAAGCCTTCAGTCAAATCAAGGAATGAACCACATCAACCACAGCAAAACTACAAAAAACTCTAGCTTCAAATTTCAACGTGAATAAAAGCAAGGCAAGCATGGCCATGTATTACTAACCACATGAAAAACGGGGTTGGGCTAGCACACCTGTTAATATCTAGTGTTAAATACAGAAAAACTCAATGACATTCTATTCAAATTTTTAAAGAGCAAAAAAACTATTTCCATTGAACTTGCAAACATCTGAAAGCTCAATGACTTCTAAAAAGGTTCCATGGTTCTCTATATGAGAAACAAATCACTCAGGATTTAGTCCAACTGAGTTTGATTGACTTCTTTCTGAAATGCAAACCTTTATTCTTTCAAATGTATATATTGCAGCTCTAACCTTTTGTGCTCAGTGTATGACAAGTGGATCGAGAATGTCCTGCAGAGAACAAAACAAAACCCTATATACTACCCTATATGCGATGCATGCTCAAGGGATAATTGGTAACTATCCTCTTCTGAGCAACAAACACAGTTATATGGCTCTGAAAAATATACTTATTAAAATTTGACTGACGATAGACCACTCTTTACATTAATTTGCCTTTTTTTTTTAAGTCTGCTCCAACAATCCAAAGAAACTATATAAAGGTCAAGGTCTCATAAAAAATTGCATATTTTTTGTAACCACCAATATATAGTTTGCAGTTAGCTTAGTTGGCAACCATTTTTTCAGCTTCCATATATAGTTATACTCTGATCCTGATGAAAATCCACTTTAAAGTTGAAAACACACGCCACCATTGTGAATAGATTATTAGCTTAGGTGTGATGTCAAACCATCCAACTTTTCATTACTCCTACCTGTTTAGAGTGTTTACCTTTCAATCATAGTCATGCATGTGGTAGCTCTTGACATTATCGTTTCAAGCCAGAATGACCTCAAAATTTGGATCATCTGAAAATTTTGGTTTAATTTGGATTTTGGACTCTAGCTAGCTGTCGTCCTTGAATTTAAGATTGTGAAGCAGTCACCACTGGTTTGCCATGAGCCATGGCATGTTGCTGTTTTGTTCTTTTAGTTTCTCAGCTTTCCTCGAAATTAAGAAACACTCCTAAATTGTTTAATCACAGGTAGCCCAAAATGAGCCTTTGTAAGTATGCAAATATCTTTGCATCAGGCAGCACAAAATACAAGGATCAGAGGTTTCATTTCTAAAACAGAGATATGCCTGGTCTGACCTATGATCACATTTCTATCCATGAGCATTTTTTATTTCTGCTCAACTGCAATCTCCATACTGAGTTTTTCAAAAATTCTTAATGGTCTGTAAATAGATTTTTGCAAGGCAAGGGAAGAAGATTCTGCAAGGGGCTTATGCATATGTTGAAAAAATGATGAAAAAAGGAAAAGTGTAGCTTATAGAGGCAAGAATATACTTGTTGTTGACATAAGAAAATGAAATACATCTTTTTTCCTGTTAATACTAAAACAAGGAATGATGTAAAACCACCCACAACTCCCTAAAACCACCTAAAACCACCTACAACCACCTATAACCATCTAAAACCCCCTAAAACCCTCTAAAACCCCTTAAAACCCCCTACAACCACCTACAACCACCTTCAGAATACTATTGTGACAATTTGTGACAATTTTGTTCACAAATTTCAATGTAAATGCACACTGGAAATCATGTTGTAGCATGTCTCGCATGTCATCATGACCAGAGAGAAACATGAAGAGAATTGTTTACACCAGAGCAGCACCAAGAGCCTTGAGGTTTTTGGAGTAATAGATAGACTATGTTCTTGAGGTCAATGTTTTCAAGGTCTGAGTTTTTGCGGTCTGCTTTGAGGTCAACTGGACACCAAGCAGGACCCCCAGTAGCAGGAAATTTGATGAGGTTGCCTAATATAACATTTTACCCTCTGCTAAGAAATCGAAATCCGAACAGCCATAACCATTTTAAATTGTTTCAAATTGGGCTGCATAGTGAGCGTACAGAAAAAAAACAAAACAGTTTAAAATGAGATTCTATTATTCACAGAAAAAACTTAATTGACTGAGAACGGGAAACTGCAGGGAAAAGAACAATGACAGTTCAAACGATGTGACAGCTGTGATAAACAGAACTTGCAAATCTTGCGAGATGCATTCAGCTTATAAAAGCAGACTTTGAGGACAGATAAAGGTGTGTTTGAAAGACAAAGCTTAGCAGCAAGACGAAAGTAACTAAGTCACTTGTCCGTGACCTTCTGTATGCTGACAATTTTACCATTGTTGCTCACTCTGAGGCTGACCTCCAAAGACTCACTGATTCACTGGCAACAACCATCACTTATTCACTGGCAACAACCACCAAGCGCTTTGGACTTACAATCAGCATCAAGCAGACAGGGGTGTTGTTCCAACCAGCCAAAGGCTCAAAAGCAAAGGCCCCTGAAATCATCATCGATGGCCAAATCTTGAATAATGTGAACTTTTTCACCTATCTTGGCAGCAGTCTCTCCTCTACCAACAGTCTTGACAATGAGATATCCACCTGTATATCCAAAACCTGCACTTTGTTTGGCAGACTTCACAAGCATGTAAGGAATGTAAGAGGACTGAAACTTGAAACAAAATGCACGGTATACAAAGCAGTCGTCCTATCTGCATTGTTGTTTAGGTGTGAGGCGTGGACCCCACACAGTATATATATATATATATATAGATATATATATCATAGTATATATAGTATATGTATAGTATATATAGATACAGTGTATAGATATATATAGTTGTTTAGATATATATTGTAACTGTCGGTAATAAATACTGTCCTGAAGATTAAAAACGCTCGGCCTCGTAGAATTGTTTGTACCTTTAATCACTCCTTAGGTTCCTTGTTACATCGCCCTCTGTTTCCGTTTAGTCTTTCCGTTTATATAGGACGAGTAAAACCGTTGACATTAAGATCCTTAAAGCAAATTTAACGCCCTGAAATTTGTTTAGGTTGGCTGAGGTACAACCTTGTCTTGAACAGTGAAACAAAATTTAAACTCAATGCCGTTGTACTAATCTAATGCGACAGCATTAACATATATATAATTTATATATATATATATTTTTTTATAACTAACTGTAGACAGAGCTGTTTTGGCCTTCTGGGCCTCATCAGTGCAGTGCTGATGCTAGGATGGAGGAGAACCGAGAGGGTCACCCCAAACGACCGAGCATTTGTGGTATCATCGTAGCCGTGCCAGAGTGCTCAAACTAGAATAAACTAGTGAGCATGTGCAATTGCAACAGCAATGACTCATCCTAGGTAGAGTGCTCAATTTGGACATGAAAGCAAAGCTTTGTGTGCCAAAGAGGTATATCTAACTGCAGACAGAAGTGTTTCGGCCTTCTGGGCCTCATCAGTGCAGTCCTGATGCGAGGATGGAGGAGAACCGAGAGGGTCATCCCAAATGACCCAACATTTGTGGTATCGTCTAAGCCATTCACAGAAAAAACTTAATTTACTGAAAACAGGAAACCGGGAGAAGAACAATGACAGTTTAAACGATGTGACAGCTGTGATAAGTCTGATAAACAGAACTTGCAAATCTTGCGAGATGCATTCAGCTTATAACGCAGACCTCGAAAACTCAGACCATGAAAACACTGACCTCGAAAACGTAGTCTGTCCGTTACTCGAAAAACCTCAACGTTCTTGGTGCTGCTCCTGTGTAAACAATTCTCTTCGTGTTTTTCCGTGGTCATGACATGCGAGACATGTGACAACATTTCCGGTGTGCATTTACATTGAAATTTGTCAACAAAATTGTCAAAAATTGTCACAATAGTATTCTGAAGGTGGTTGTAGGTGGTCATTGGTGGATTTAGGGGGTTGTAGATGGTTGTAGGCTGTTGTAGGTGGTTTTAGGTGGTTTTAGGTCGTTCCTTGTTTTAGTATTTACGCTTTTTTACCAATCATAAACCAATTTCTATTTCACAAATTACAGATTTCTATTTTGCAAATTACAGATTCCTACTTCGCAAATCCAGAACAAATCTCTATTTTGCAAATTAGAGATTTCTATTTTGCAAATTGGAGTTCACTATTTTGCAAACTACAGATTTCTGTTTTGCAAACATTGTTTTCTACTTCGCGAATCATTGACAGATTTCTATTAAGCAAATTACAGATTTTCATTTTGTTTCATTTCTTTTCATTTTGGTGTGTTTAATTTTGCAAAATACAGTAAGCTTTGGCAACAACTAATATTCTTTGGCATGAAATTTGTAACGTATGTATTGTTGCTATATGAATTTGTGGATTTGCCTGATCGTTCATCTGATAGATTATTCACTGGATATCAGAAATACTGATTTGGTTTCTTCTCAGATTTTTTTCATTGTGTAAATCTTCAGCAATGAAGATATCCAAATGCCGCATATTTTTCTTAGAGTGAGAGCTCTAGCAGAAACACCAATTCTGATTATTTTCATAAAAATCTTTTTCGCAGGTGGTCTCTGATTACTATGTATTTGACCACAGGATGGTTCAGACAAGATCAGATTGTCCTAGTAAACATATTGATAATGAACTTTTAGCAGAACCAGAGGTGAGCATACCAACATTTTACTTGGCTTAAATTTTCCAGTTCAGAAACTTGCTAAAAATTTTCAAAATATGCATGCATGCATGCATGTTAAAGCACTTGACCAGTTTAAAAAATACATTATTGCCATGAAATCCCATTCAGGTGAAATGTATCTCAACCAAGTTCCATTTAATACTAGATTTATGTTGACTTAGTTTCCTTTTGGATTTTATTTGGATATGCAGCAAACACATTTTCAAGGAAAAGTGAGCTTAAATTTGCTGAATAATGCAGTTATATAAGCAAGTTAAAACCTTCCCCCTAACCCTTTACACTGTAACATCAATATGCATGCTGTTCTCTATACATTCCTTGAGTTGCTTCTGTTGTTCTCATGACCTAAATATGTAATTCAGGGGTGATATTTTATGGAGAAATTAGATGTTAGTCATTTGTGGGAGCTAAGGGGTTTAGTAAGCTTAACTGAATATATGATATACATCATGCAAATATGACAAGGAGTACTTACACTGCTTGTCTTGATTCAAGGACCTAATTATTATAATCATGTTAGAATCATGAGTTGCTAGAAAGTATGAATACAGCTTAAATTACTCATTGTTGTATTAGGCTGAGTGGAGTACAATTGATAATGGTTATAGGACTGAGTGGAGATCAATTGGGTTTTTAATCATACAAGTGATAAACAAAATAGTACATAAATAGGCTTACTACCTGATGCCTATTCACACTTCATCTGAAAAAAGGGCAGCTATTGAGCATATAAAAGGGCCTGTTGTTGCAATGATCAGATCACCCCTGATGAAGGCTCTAGACCCAGTTACATTCATTAAGTCTTTAAACCAGAGTAGAATCAAACCATTTCTGAAAATAGGTGACTCAAGAGGGAGTCAGATTTGTTGACAACAGCACTCGTACGTCCACATATAGTGTCCACTTATTCAGGCGATGACATGTCAACTCTCCTATTACACTGTCCAGTTACATGCATGATGTGTACACTATCCTATTAGTGCTCAAAATGGACTGGTGATAACCAATCACACTCAAGAATTAGTTGCTTATAGATTTCACTAAGGGAGTAATGGGGTAAGTGACTTCAAACTGGCTGAGCTTGTAGGGTGAGGCCAATTTGAAATGAAGAGCACTTTGCTCATACTGTTGTCCAACTGAACACTGGGATGGGCTAACACAGTTCCAGGTCCCTCGGGTGGCAAGTTGTTTGCAAAGCCTCAGTCTGCTGCTGTAGAGTTACGAAGAGCTTTGTGACCATAGATATTCCAAAAGGTACGAAACTTTGAATACAACATTTTACTTACATTTTGGGGTAAAGCATTTAATTTTGTTCATGACATTTTCAGCTTCCATCACAGGTGTATCAGCATTTTCTTGTTGTAAAATCTCACCTGTCTTCCTCTCTTCTCCCCAATTGGTTATGGGAAAAAAATCAATATTGTTCCTCTGTGGGATTTCCTCAAAAACTTTTACGATTTTAACATATTTAAGATATTGAAAAGGGCAGAGCATGTTCAAAGTCACTATGCAAATGTGTCTGTGTTGGCAGATCATTGCATGCTGCCAAAAGCTATCAATACATCTGAAATGCAAGGCAAAATAGAAATATCCTTAATTTAAAGACTGAAGTGCTTTAAATTGACTGTTTAGTGACAAGCAAGATGCAAATTTCTCGGTATGATTTTATGGCCAGAAAACTGGAAGTGTTGCATTCGAATTCCTGCAAGTTAAAAGGAAGATCACCCCAAAAAGCATATTTGCTTTGTCCTCGTCGCTTGTAGGTTCCAAACAGACATTTCGTGACTTAAACATGATGCAACTCGTAGTTGTTACCAGGCCGAGTGAGTGATCTTGTTTGGCCATGTGTATGATGAATTTTGTTCTGAAGATTGTGAATGTGAATCGTTTTCATCCTATCGATTTCGACGAACATTTTTCAGTTATTTTGAGAAGGAACCCTCAGATTGTTTGTAAGTGTTTGACATTTCGTTTTATTTGAGCTTTGTATACTTTCATTTTGCTTTATTTTGCTTCGCATTTGCAAGTTTTGATTGTGTAATTCTACTTTCAGAAACATATTTGTATGCCGTTTATTTGATGAACCTAGATCAAAGAATCTAAAATTAACCAATCGATTCAGGAGCTACATTAGTTTAAACAATAGGGATTTCAAGAAACTGGAAAACATATGCTTATCCGGCAAGAAAACCGACGAATCAGTTTCAAAGTATGAGAAAGATTTAGACATTGATGGCCAACTCAGTGAGAAGATTCTCAGCCTCAAAAGGAGCAGAGCTGGATTCAAAGCGTCGCTGAGAAAGAAAACAAACGATCTTTGGGATCTGATGACAGAAGAGGGCAACGTGGGCGAATTGAAATTGAAATTCAAAGAGCTGTTAGAATCCTGGGAGAGATTCGAAGACGCTCACAAGAAGCTTCATAGCATCCTTACCAATGATGATGAAATTGATGAGTCTCTAAGGAACTATGAGAAGGAAAACGAAGCGATTTGTGAAATAAAAGAGAAGATCTTCACGTGGATCTATGCCATAGAAAGTGCTAAACTGCAAGATGAAGTAACACCTCTGGATTCAATCAACCAAGTAAGTGTTTCCCGCGTTTCGAAGTCAAGTAAAGTGTCAAAGGTATCCCATACCAACAGCTCATCTAGTTCAGGAAGAAGGAGGCTTATCGAGGAAACAGCAAACCGTAAGGCCCTTGAAGCAAAATTGAAGTTGTTAAAGGAAAAACAGGAATTAGCAGAGAGAAAGCTTGAGTTACAGAAAATAAAGGAGGAAGAAGAATTTCACTTGAAGGCTGGAACAAGAAGAGATGTTGAAAATGAAGATGGAACTAGCCCAGTCAGCTGCAAGGGAGGAAGTTTATGCTAAAATAGAGGCGAACGAGCGTGGTGAACTGTCTCACATTGATGAAATTGAAGAACAGATTGATGAAGTTGATCGTAATACTAAGTTGAAAATTAAGATTGAAGAATCTCCTCTCGATCCACTGGCACCTGAATGACCAAGTGATGTGCGACCACTAGTTACACTCCCTGTGTTGACTACGTTGAAAAGGAGACTGAAAAGGACAAGTCTTCTACAAAGGAAGATGACTTTGCTCAGATGATGACTAATCAAGAAAGACAAATTTATTTAAGTGTATCAAAGAACTGGTAGCACAGCAACAAAGGAGTGCCTTGACTTTAACACCACCCAAACCTGAAGAACCCGTCTTCAGTGGAGATCCAATGGAGTACAACAAGTTTGTGAAAGCATTTGAGACATTGATAGAAGCATGGATGGATAGCCACAGTGCATGGTTGTATTATTTAGTCCAGTACACTTCTGGAGCTGTTCAAGAGCTTATGCAGAGCTGTTCACTGATGGATTCAGATAAAGGTTACCAGGAAGCAAGGAGGCTCCTCAGGAGCAGGTATGGCCAGCCCTAAAAGATTGCTTCTGCATATGTTGACAAGGTTGTAAATGGACCACAAATTAAATCCGAAAATGGGGAAGCCTTACAGAAGTTTTCATTGCTTTTGACCAGCTGCAAGAACACACTTAAAGGAACTGAATATCATAGCAAGATAGATAACCCAGATAGCTTGAAAGGAATTGTAAATTGTCTGCTATACGATGCCTGGAAAAGATGGCGCTTCATGGCTGACAACATCAGTGAAAAGGAAAACAGACAAGTAACACTTGATGATATTGCCAGCTTTGTTGTACTAGAAGTTCGTGCAGCAACACATCCAGTGTCTGGAGACATATCAGGCAACCTGAAAGATAAAGAATCCCACAAGAGGAAACCTCCTGTTAGGCCTAAAGGTTCTAGCTTCGGTACTCAAACCGACAAAACCAATGCTAAAAAGGATAAGCAAGAAGAAAAGAAAGAATCAGGATATTCTAGACCAGTCAAGTGTATCTTTTGCCACAGCAGCCATGTGGCACAAGAATGCAAGATGTTCCAATGAAAGTCTTACAGTGAGTGAGAAGAGTTTGCAAAAAAAAGGGACTTTGCTTCAATTGTCTGATTCCTCATCATCGAGCACGAGATTGTAGAAAACCTGCTGTATGCACTGACTGTGGAGGGAAACATGCCATGATTTTACACCCTCCACCTCCCCCTAACAGCAAAAGGCATTCCAGAAGATTCCAATCAAAGTGAGACGAGTGGTATAAACAATGGGTTTGTTGAGGTTGATAAGACACAGTGTAGTTCCTTTGGGGTCAACGGATCAAGGATTGGATTAACTGTTGTGCCAGTGAAAGTGAAAGCCGAAGGTAGTTACAATGTTGTAGTAACTCGTGGCTTTCTAGATGGAGGATCTAATTCAATGTTCTGTACCGAAGCACTCCTAAAACAACTGGCCTTGATGGCAAGAAAACAGAATTCTCTCTAATGACCATTGAAAAGGAAAACAGTATTACAAAGAGCAGCTTAGTAAGCCTTGATTTGTTTGATCTTGAAGAGGAAAACCTTGTTGGACTGCCCACAGTGTTCTCAGTTAAATCCTTACCATTGTCGGCTGAAGATGTCCCAAAGCAAGGTGATGTTGTCAGGTGGCCCCACCTACATGGAATTCGAGTGTCTGAATTAGATGTTCCAGTCGGTCTGCTAGTGGGAAATGACAACATCAAAGCATTAGAACCAAAGGAGATAAGACAGAGCGAAGGCGGTGGAACGTATGCAACCAAAACCCGATTTGGCTGGGCCATTAATGGTCCACTTGGCTCCGACCACAAGGAAAGTAAATGCACAGCAAATCTTATCATAACAGACCATGAGCTGAACGAGAGGTTCAAGAACTTTTGCAATCGAGAGTTCAGTGAATGCATTGCAGATAGTGAACTAGGCCATCCCAAGATGATCAAAGGGCAATTTCTATTATGAAGAAATCCGTCAAGTTGAAGGAAAATCATTATGAAATAAATTATTGTTGCCATGGAGAGATGATCAGCCATGTTTACCGAACAGCAGAC